AACTGCCACAGTCACCCACCCACCCACCATCACCACCTACCACACACCCGCTACCACCCACCACCACCAGCCATCCGCCACTCACTTACCACCACCACCCACCACCACCAGCCATTCGCCACCCACCTGCCACCACCACCCACCACCTGCCATCGTCACCCACCACCACGCGCTACCCACCACCCACCATCACCACTTTCCACCACCGTCTTCCGCCGCCACTTGTCACCACTTGCCATTTCTCACTCTTTTTTTATATTTAAATTTTTTTTAAACATTTTGTCAATTACCAAACACGTTTGTAGTTTATGTTTTTCTAAAAATAAACAAAAAATAAACAAAAGCCAGTTTATAAAGTTTTTGTAAATATAAACTGAAAGCGTAAACGTTACCAAACACGTAATGATACAAAACGTAAATAAAAATATTAATCAAATATAACTATTTTTATTCATCAAACGTTTTTCACTACCAATTTAAAATTGATCTCGTTTGCAATGACGATCACATTCATTTGACTTCACGTTGTTCTTGTGTTTTCAATGACGATGACATTCATTTGACTTCACGTTGTTCTTGTGTTTCTAACAGCTTTGCTCTATTGTTTCAAGTTTAAACACTGCTAGACTTTCCCAAGTCGGAAAGATTTGATAATTCAGGCTCTGTATAGGAAACAAAAAGAAAAAACAATAACAATGATTGAGGACTCCTTTTTTTAGATATCACAATTTTTTTTTGAATTTCAATCATGGCGGTATGTGTGGGGTCCACCAAGATCCAACGGAGGTTGTGGGGTCTCCAAAATAAGGGGTCCAAACATTTTTCATAAAAAAATTTAGTTAGATTTTTTTTTTGATTATTTTAATTTGATTAAAAAAATTTCTTTGAAATAAACTTTTATTTTATTTTTTTTATAATTTATAAAACAAATAGTGAAACAATTATGATTTAAATTTGACATTTTTCTTATTAATTTTTTAATTTATTTTGGTCTCGTTTGAAAACATGTTATTTTATTTTAGTAACTTTTTGAATTTTTACAAAAAGATTTACAAAAAAATAAAGAAAGTGATTTGATGACTTATAATAACTTTTTAACTAAAATGTATAATTGATAAATGAGACATTTGCCTTTTAGTGAGCTAAATTAAATCCAACCTTCTTCCTAAATGCCATTAAAAAAAAAACCATCTTCCCAAATAAACCTCAATCAGTGCAAGTCTCATCCAACCTAATCTATAAGTTCAGTTGATTAGAAATAAAATTTGAAAGTGAAAGAAAAAGAAAAAAATAAAAAAAAAAATTGTAATTATTTGATTAAGATAAAAATTTAATTATAAATAACTCACACATTCAATTTTTTTTTTCTATTTTTCACCACTTTTAAGTTAAATCAACTCATAAAAGTTCAGTTCCAAAAAAAAAAAAAAAAACTCATAAAAGTTAAAAAAAAATTTCTTTCTCCTCTCCCATAGAAAATTTATACACTACATTTGGGAAAAAACAGTTGTACATTTGGTGCTTTTTGATCATTTAATTTACAATGAAAATAAATTAAGTTGGTTTCATAATCACAAATTATTTAATTTAAAAATTAAGTACTTTTAGATGGAGTTAAAATTTTAAATACTTAGTAATAATAAAAAGTAAAAATTTATGTTACATGCGTTCTTATTTAATTATGAACTTCTTATAATATCTTAATTAAAAAAAAAAATTATTCCCTTTGTGTGACATGGTTGAATGTCGATCATGCATATGATTTAAGAAAAAAAAACATCACGTAAATGATAGTGTTGTAACACTATTCAATATATTTGGTTTCAATTTTTTAGAAATTGAATTTTTTATTTTTAGTGAATATTTTTTAAATTTTAAATATATATAATATATATATAGTTTACTTTTTTTAGATGCACCTTATTTAGATATATCTAAAAAGTAAAATATTTATAAAAAAGTCAATAAATACATAAGAATACGAAAAATGTACTAAATTCTCGTATTTTTTTATTTATATTTTTGGTATTTAATGAATTTTTTTTAAAAAAAAATTTCACAAATATTATATTTTTAAGTACATTTATATTAGGTGTATTTAAAAATTTTAAAAATTATTTAGAATATTAAAAAATTTAATGAAAATAAAAAAATATGAGAAATAAAAAATTTCAATTTTTTAAAAATTAAATCCTAAAAATTCAAATCAAACAAATTGATTGAAGGGTCGCTTGGCAATAACTTTTTTAATTGGTTTGTTTGGCTTTTTAGTTTTGGAATGACAAATTTTTTTGTTTTTTTGTGTTTTTTGACTTTTTAATTTTTTTGATTTTTTTTTTTTTTTGACTTTTTGTGATTTTTAGTCCAAAAGAAAAACCAAACCGGGGCTGAGTTGAGCAATTAAGAGATAAGGTAACGTGACGTGCATTTCTACTTGGTAATTGGTTTGTTTGGCTTTTTATTTTTGGAATGATAATTTTTTTTGTCTTTTTGTGATTTTTGACTTTTTAATTTTTTTGATTTTTTTTTTTTGACTTTTTGTGATTTTTAGTCCAAAAGAAAAACCAAACCGGGGCTGAGTTGAGCAATTAAGAGATAAGGTAACGTGACGTGCATTTCTACTTGGTATCATGGTATGGTCCACAAACCACCAAATGCTTTAGTATTTTGTCTACATTTTTATTGGAACAGAGGAGGTGTCCAAAATCTGGATTGTTTGGGCCCGTGGAATATATTATCATCCCATTTTTGATGATAATTATTTATTTTATTAGATATTACATGTATTTTATCTAAAAAATCTAAATTGATTTGATAATTATAATTTGTTTAATTTATTATTTTTGTCATAAAAAAATATGTGATTTATTTTTTAAAGATATATTTATTGTCTATTTTTTTAGTGAAAAATACAATAAATTGAACAAATTATAATTATTGAATTGACCTAATTTTTTGTATCTATGAAATACACAAAATGCCTAATAAAATGAAAATTTTAAATTATCACAACGGAACCTGTGATGAACACAGACCCAGACAACCCTATCTAATCTAGATTTTAGATTAGAGGGAATCATTGTCCTATTAAAATAATGTCTTAAGTATTGAACTAAGATCCTTTCAAACAATTAATATGGATTTGATATTCGATTAACTTAAATTTTTTAAATAATATTTTTGACGAATCTTAAAATAAGTATAGTTTGAATCATCAAAATAAACTCGAAAAACACTCCCAAAAAAGACTCACGTCAACAATCCTCAATTCGGCTGTGACATCTACACTTTATAAGTCTCACTTATTATTCACTATAAAAAAATAAAATAAAATAACTCATCCTTATCTAAGTATTTGGTAAAATTTTTAGTAGAACTTACCTCATCTCAGCTCGGGTGTGAGATCACATTTTATAGGATTCACACTTGTCTCATTTGAGTTTTGATAGATTTTCTAATAGAATATTTAGAGTATATATATTTTGTATATAATAGGTCCTGTTTGGAAAAAAAATTGAATTAAAATAACTCACTAACTCACTAAAAAATAAAATAGACTAAAATAATTAATAAGATAAAATATTACATTTAATTTATAATCATTTTATATTTTTTCATACAACCATAAAATCAATTATAAAAAAAAAACTAACTAATTTTTAAATATAACTATTTTAATCAAACTAAAATAATTAAAAAAAAAAATCAAATACCAACTAAAATAACTAACTTACGGCCTATAAGAACAAGAAGACCAAACATGAGTAATGAACATCCATAATTTTTGTGCGTTTCATTTCACCATCAAAAACACCATGGCCACACTCTACTTCTTGTACCTTCCTCTAATCTTACCCTTATACCTCTTTACCAAGCACGTCCTTCGCAAGATCCAAAACCTCCCTCCAAGCCCATTCCCAACCCTACCCATCCTCGGCCACCTCCACCTCTTCAAAACCCCCCTTCACCGATCCCTATCCCACATCGCCGCCCGTCACGGCCCAATCCTCCTCCTCCAGTTCGGCTCACGTCCAGTCCTCCTAGTCTCCTCTCCCTCCGCCGCTGAAGAATGTTTCACCAAAAACGACATCGTCTTCGCCAACCGCCCTCGCCTCCTCGCCGGAAAACACCTGGGCTACAACTACACCTCCCTCTCCTGGGCCCCCTACGGCGACAACTGGCGGAGCCTCCGCCGCATCGCCGCCCTCGAAATCTTCTCCTCCCACCGCCTCCAAACGCTTGCCGACATACGCGCTGACGAGGTACGGTGGTCGGTCCGGCGGCTCTGTGGTGAGGCGGAGGCGGTGGATATGAAAGGAGTTTTTTTCGAGCTGATGCTTAATGTGATGATGAGGATGATTGCGGGGAAGAGGTATTATGGAGAGAATGTGGCGGAGGTGGAGGAGGCAAGGCGGTTTAGGGAGATTGTGGCGGAGACGTTTCGAGTTGGGGGTGCGTCGAATATTGGGGATTTTTTGCCGGTTTTGAGGTGGGTTGCAGTGAGAGGGTTGAAGAAGAGGTTGGTGGCGTTGCATGAGAACAGAGATGGGTTTATGCAGGAATTGATTGAAGAGCTTCGAAGAGGAATGGGTGGCGATTCAGGGGAGGTGGGAGAGAAGAAGAAGAAGAAGACGACTATGGTGGAGGTGTTGTTGTCTCTGCAAGAATCGGAGCCTGAGTATTACACCGATCAAATGATCAGAGCCCTCATGATAGTAAGAAATCCCTAGCTCAATCAATATCCATATTTATTTATTTTACGAATTTGATAAAAGTTAATTAGTTTTCCTAATGGTTTGTTTGGTTTAGGGGATTTGAAGAGATATTTGGAAAGAAAAATGAAAAAGTTAGATAAAATATAAATAAAATATACTTATATTTTATCTAGTTTCACACACATTTTTCCTTTCTGTTTCAAAATCTCTCCCTAAATCTCTCAACCAAAATAAAAAATTTTAGTCAAAACTTTTCCATTAGATCATTGTTTGAAAGAACAATCCAATTATTTTGTTTCATAAACCTCTTAAAGAAAAAAACACATAATTGAGTAGGGATAAAGTAAAATATATATATATTTTTTTCTCAGATAATATTGTTAAAGTAACATGTTATTATAAATTAGATAGAATAACATGTTATTGTTTACATCAAATTTAATGGTAATAAATTATTTATTTATATATTTAAGAATTTTATAGTCAACATGAATCTTATTTGATAGATTTTGATGAGAGAATTTTAAAAATATTAATTTTATTAAAAATCGACATCTACATCAAAAGTTATATTATTTTAAAGTTTAATATTTTGATAATAATAGTATATGTTGGACTTTTCAAGAAAATTTTTTTACACTTGTCCTTAATGCATTAAAGTTTTATTATAATAGGGTTTTGACCAAATTCCCATTTAAAATAACTAATATATATTTAATTTAAATTTGTCTAAGCATCTCGAATGCTCACTCAATTTTTTGTTAATCAAATTTGAATAAAAGTTTAATATAATATGTTGCATTTCAATCGTTTCATCAAATTTGCCTAATCGTCTAGTTAGTCATCTGATCGATCATTCGGCATAAAACAAATTTTCAACAAAACTTTCCCAAGCCTTTCATCTACCTAGTTGACTAGCCGGTCATCTACCAACGATCGTCTGTGAAATTTGATGAAAGGCTGAACGTTTCCTTGATTTGATGAAAAATCTGGCCTCACCTTTATTTGATATGGGTTTGATGCCTGGTTGGAGCAGAAAAAAGGGGTGTGTTTCATTAAATTTAAATTTGATGAAACTTCTTAGTAAATGTTAGAGACCCTCTTAGTACATTCGATGAGAACTAGTGAAAGATTTTTATATATCACTTGTTTTTTCATCTGGGCAGTGATTGAGGGCTTTAGGTATATAGCCCTAAATGGAGCTTTATATGTGGCATTGGAAAAAAAAAATAATAATAATAATAAATAAATAAAGTAATACAAAACAAAACAAAGAATAATGATAGAGAGATCTAGAGCCAGCGCTCTAAACCCAACTCTAGGGACGTGGAAATTCAAAAAAAAAAAGTCAAAACATCACATCAATAGAGTAAACCCACCCCTAGAGCTTCTTAGAGCTCATGTTTTAGAGTTTCAAAACATTTTTGCAAAACAAAACAAAACAGGCCAAAACATCACGTTGTAAATAGAGCTCTCTTAGAACTCTCCTTTTAAAGCTCCAAAGCATTTCTCTTTTTTATATTTGTGATTGGTTATGTGATGAAGATATCATTTATATTTATTAATTTTGTAATAATTATATCAAATAAAAAAATTGATCATGAATATTTATATAAATGGTGATATATGGTAGTAATAAGAAAATTAGTAATATATATCATTTTAATTTTTTTTTAAAAACTACTATATATTTATTTTATTTGATATCACCGGATACTTGATAAGTTATTATTTGATTTCATGAATGACCCAATAATTATTTTCAAACAAAAACCTAATTATGAGTATTTATGTACATGCTAATAAAAGTCAAGTAATATGTAACATTTTTTAATTTTTCTTTTTTTACTAATGGTGTGCACTCCCAAGTATTTTGTCGCATATTAATTAGTTCTTCATACAATAATGCAATTTTCTTTTATCTTTATAAGAATCTTGTTCTAAACCTTATAATAGTTGAATTATATGTGAAATTCTCACAATTCAATGTTCAAATGATCTAAAATTTTAAGACTGCGAAATGTTACAAACATAAGATTCTTGGTTTAGAAACATTTCTCAAGTTATTTGATTTTTATAGTGATATTCTGAGAATCTCTAACATGATAGTTAACATGATACAGATAATAGGTAAGTTAGTTTCAACTTGCATATTGATACAAATAATTGTTTCAATAGAAAATCCATTACATTTTTTTTAATTTTTTTTTTACTTAAATTGCTTAGACATGTTAAATTCTCTTATGTAATTTATTTATTTATTTTTGGATTGGTGGCCAACAAAACAAGATCCATGAAGTGGTGGGCCTCACAAAGGGTTAGTGGCAAATTACTGGGATTCAGTTAATGAGTGGTTTGAAGATTACACAATTGCTTGACAGGTCGACTTGATTGACAGTGTGTTAATATATGAGAGAGAGGGAGAAAGAGAATATTATGTGACATGTATATTTAATATTATGTTCTATAATAATGTACTAATGTATATAAAATTCTTTTATACTGGAGGAGAAAAATCTAAATATAGTAATCCTTAGTATAGTAATGAATATTATATGGTATGTATGATAGACAGAATATATAGTTATTATATTTAATACTTCCTTCAAACTCAAGGAGGGATACCAACTTGAGTTTGGAGAAAGAAACTAAAATATGAAATAAAACTAAAAACAAAATAAAACATGGATACATTCGAGGCAAATAGATTACAAAGTCCGATTGGTAGCACATGGGTGCTTGAGCTAGATTAGAGGCTGGAGCTAATGCTTGGAGACAATTTATGATCGTGTCAGACCGTTGTAGAAATAGGGCTGGAGCTAACAGAATTAATGTCTCGAAACAGTTTATGGTCATGTTAGATTGTTATAAAAGAAGAACAAGTGTTGAGCCAACAAACGTGGCACACACATAACTTATGACGTGGTGCTAAACGGTGGTGGCAACAAATGAAAAAGTGCATAAGGGGGCGGCTTGGAAAGGAATCATGTGCGCCAAGGGGGCGGTTTGAAAAGGAACCATGTGAGCCAGGAGGTGGCTTAGAAAGGAACAAAATGCACCAAGGGGGTGGCTTAGGTAATGTGCCAAAGGAATGGCTTAGAGAGTGTGCCGATGGAGGCGGTTTTGGGAGTGCGCCAAGGGTTGGCTTAGAGAGTGCGCCAAGGGAGGAGGTTTAGGGAGTGCACCAAAGGGGCGACTTAGGGAGTGCGCCAAGGGGTGGCTTGGGTAGTGTTATTAAAGGCGCGCCTAGGCCCAAGTCCCATCCAGGCCCAAGGTTTGCGCCTTGTAGTGTTCCAGGTCAGGCGACTTCGATAAGGCTCGCCTATGCGTGCTCCTAGGCCCAAGTCCCATCCAGACCCAAGGTTTGCGCCTTATAGTGTTCCAGGTCAGGTGACTGTGATAAGGAGCGTGACTGGCCCAAAACTTACGTCTTGAGAGCTTTTTTTATTGTTGTTTTAATTGGTTTTACTTAAAATCTTACCATTGATTTAATATGGTGCAGCTACAGAAGATCCTACTCTTATTACAAATGCCAATACGTTGGGCATTCAACCCCAAATCAATGATAGAAGAAAAATTAGCCCTAATTCATATTCTCTAAAAAATACTAAATGTTTTAACATTTTATTTTGTTTATATTAGACCCTAAATTATTTATTTATATTAAATTATATATTTTTTCCGTATAAGATGCGTCTCACTTCAATAAAGTCTGCGCCTCGCCTTGCGCCTTGAGTCTTGAGCCTAGAGCCTAGGCCCCAGGAGACCTTGGCGTCTTGGTGCGCCTATCGCTTTTAATAACACTGGGCTTGGGTGATTCACATGATGTATCACCATATTCACCATGATATAGGTATAATAGTCCCCTCAAACTCAAATAGGTTTGGATAAAAACTTATTTGAATTTGAAACAGAGAAAATGACCGAAGGGATGGGAGAAGATGTCAGCTATGAAAATAATAATAATAATAATAATAATAATAAAATTGGTTATTTATTTATTTATTTTTTTAGCGGATTGGAAACGGGTTGATGGTAAATAAAAAACCAATATATGTTGAAGGGTAAGGAACAAATGTTTTAAATAAATAATTAAAAGTGATGATAATGAAATGTTTGAAAAATGGGTTTGAAAAGTTGGGGAGGTAGACAAAAGGCAAACAAACTCCATAGGTGAGTATTTTCACCTTGTCAAAATATAATAATAATAATAACCATAAAGGGAAGATCACACTGGTGTATGAAAAAAAAGAGAGAAGAATATTTATAAAAAAATAATGGTGGAACAAGCTTATGTGATTGAGTTGAAAAACAGATTGTTTTGTTTGAATAGAAAGAGAGTGTAGACTCGAGAGACGAGAGAGAATTTTTGGATGGGTTTGATTAAAAAATTGTGAAGGTTATGGGTTTGTGGGCAACGGTGATGGCGGAAATGCCAGATTTGGGAGATGCAGGGGAATGAAGGCGATGATGCTGAAGAAGGTTTGGTGGTTATGGTGAGACAACAAATAGGATTGAGGTCTGGCGATTGGTCAAGGTACGGTTACCGCTTGCTGGTAAAGCAAAGAACACCAAGAGCTTAACCCCAACTATGATATCATGTTACAATAGCTAAGAGAGAGATAATATTATATGATATGTATATTCAATATTATATTGTATAACAATGTAATAATGCATACAAAACTCTTTTATATAGAAAGAGAGAAACTTAAGTATGATAATCCTAAATGTAGTAATGAATATAATATGATATGTATGATAGATAAAATATATAGTTATTATATTTAATAGACAAGATGATCTAAATGATTGATTCCTTAATTTACACAATTACATTTTTTGGGTTAAATTTTGTATTATATATATATATATATATAATTAAATAATTATTAAAAAAATAATAAAAACAATTAGTATTTTGTAATGTATCCCAATGATATATAATTATCCTCTAATTTTAATGAATCTTCTACAATCCTCAACTGTTATTGTTTATGGCTTTGTTAGTGCAATTGATAAGGATTAATTATAGTTTTTTTATTTTATCTTGAGAGTATATATAGAATGTTTCGCGTAACTTTCCTTTATAGTTTATGAGGTAGAATAAGTTAAATAAGATTATATCTATATATATATATATATTTAACTATAAAAAATATTTAATTATTGTAAAGTTGAGAGAATAATGTTTTTAGCAACTTTTATTTTGCAAAAAATTACACCAAACAAGCTCTTTGTCATTGTAGTTATTCAAATAAATACCAGCAATGTTAGGAACACAAAAGGTTTTCATAGAATGTGACGTGTGTGAGAGAAATGTGAGAACTATTATTTGTCTTACATTTGTATCTCATTATGTAAAAATCATCTGTACATTTATATTTATTTACACAGGTAATAGTAGACAACTAAGGTGTATAGTTTTTTTAATAAATAAAAAAGTGTCTAGGAATACAAAAATCAATCACTTAATTGGATGAGAGAATTGTGTCCCATTGTATGAATGGTTTCCGTTAGGAATGCTTGGGAACTTCTCAGTTATGCTTCTGTTGATTATGCTAGGGGTGGTGTTTGTCTTGCAGATCATGGGCTCTAATTTCCAATGCACTGAATTTGAGCTTTTGAATAATCATTTTTAATTTTCTTTTGGGCCACTCTAGAAGCAGAGACTAACCACTAATTTGTTTATTTTCATTTATATTTGTAGGTTTTATTAGCGGCAGGAACAGATACTTCAGTTGGCACCATGGAGTGGGCACTTTCACTTCTATTGAACAACCCCCACATTTTACAGAAGGCACAGACTGAAATCGATACACAAGTAGGCCCACACCGTCTGATCGAAGAATCAGACATAGCCGATCTCCCTTATCTCCGCTGCATCATCAATGAGACAATGCGGATGTACCCAGCAGGCCCATTGCTAGTACCTCATGAGTCCTCAGAGGAATGCACGGTAGGAGGCTTCCGCATCCCACGTGGCACTATGCTATTGGTGAACATTTTGGCCATACAAAATGACCCGAAGATATGGGTGGAGCCCGAGAAGTTTATGCCAGAGAGGTTTGAAGGGCTAGAACGGTCGAGAGATGGGTTCAAGTTGATGCCATTTGGATCAGGGAGGAGGAGCTGTCCTGGAGAGGGTTTGGCCCTGCGTGTGGTTGGGTTGGCAATGGGATCACTAATTCAGTGCTTTGATTGGGAAAGGATGAGTAAAGAGATGGTAGACATGACCGAAGGAACTGGACTCACCATGACTAAGGCTCAGCCCTTGATGGCTAAGTGCAGGCCTCGTCGGATAATGGCAAGCCTTCTTTCACAAATATGAACCGCATTTTGGTTGAAGATGGTTTCTGTCAAGCGCACATAAAACTATGAAATTGTTTCTAATTTGCTAAAAAAATGAGGTCTTATGTGATAGCTATGTTTTTCTTGTAGTTGTTTTTTGAAAATCTTTGTCAAAGACTTGCAAAGTTCGTAATGTTTGAATGAGGTTTTCTTTCATGAATTTCAAAAGCTAGCAAAGCCAAAATTGCTTGTAATGGTAATTAGTAACTTCAGATAAGATAGAAGTTACACCTCACAATTAAGTGGATTATGTTTCATAAATAAACCCAAATATAAACTGTGACTATTGAAAAGCCTAAGTGACTCGTGATTCAGGCTAGATTAATTGCACCAATTCTCAAACAATTTAAAAAAACAATCTAAATTATCTAGCATATACGAAGGTGATTTAGATTGTTGCTTTGAAATCAATAAATCGACACAAACGATTTTTTCATGGAAAAATCACAATTGGAGATTGGAGCACCTCCAATTGTGATTAAAAAATTACAGGCAAAACACCACTAATCAATCCATTATGAAAGAAAGAAAGAATACAAATATACCAAAACAAATTATCCAAACGCAATCAATTTGTCTTTAACAATTTGTATCTCTTTCACTACCGCTTTCGCCTCAGAATTGATCAGCTTGATGTTGAATCCACAACATCTATGTTGAACCAACGACTGCGCACAGTTTCGAACTCTTTCGAATACTCCACGCTTGAATGTCCGGATTCCAGCGAAGAAGAAGAAGAAAAACACTCTTGAAGTTGAACAATCAAACTCTTCGATGTATGCTTGTCAAAACATGAGTTTAATACTCAATCAAATATTAAAAAAAAAAAAAAACCTAGCAAAATAGCCCCAGAAGAAAACTCTAGAACCCTCAAAAAAGATTTGGAAGCCGTAACCTAAAACTTGACAGAACCGCAGCTTTTATAACAAACAGATCTGCGATCTCCGCTCGAGTGCAGGACTTTCCGCTTGAGCGGTAGTACTAAAACGTGTGTGACAAAACAAGGTCTACGCTCGAGCGTTGAAACTTATGCTCGAGTGTAAAATCACACCTCTCAGTATTTTTGTAGACAAGCGAAAGTACTGAGAAGGTGAAAACTCCGCTTGAGCGCAACTTTCCCTGCTCGAGCGGGAAGACCAAAACAAAGGAAAAAATTCAACTCAGTTTAGCTAAGCTTGTTCCCGGAATTGGCAACAAGTTGGGACCTAACAATCTCCCCCTTGGTCAATTCCCGGACAAAATTTTTCTAACAAACACATGCACTAGACATACTAACTAACATCATCAAAAGTTTCGGCCTAACAAACGTAAAAACAACAAAACAACAAATGCCGATTTGATTGAGAAACACTTAGGAACATTTTGAACAATCCACCTGTGAAAAAACCAAAATTATGGAACAAAATAAGATAACGAAGATAAATAGATATCAATAAGAAAAATATCCAACTGTATATCTAAAGCTATCTATTCCAATACATCCCAATGTTCATGCCCAAAACAGTTGTAGAAAACACAAATGTCTAGAGTTCTAAAACAAATTAAACAACCAACCAATGTTTATGAGTCTAGAACAAAAATATGCAGTTCTAAAACAAAGGAAACAACCAACCAATGTTTATGAGTCTAGAACAAAATATATACCCAAAATACTCTCCTTTTTTGTTCGGGAAACAAGCAATAACAAAAAACAAAAGAGAAGAAAAAAAACAAAACTGTCCAAGAGAGAAAAAAAAAATGCTATCAAAGGAGCAACTTAGTCAAGGATCGGCCTGTCACGACCCAACCCTAGGGGCTTAGGGTTGGAATCGCAACTTACTAAATAATTTTAATCGTAGCAAATTAAATGGCGCATGCGAAGGCAAAATGGAAGTAAGAAAATAATTAAACAGAAAATTACTTCATTTGACTATTTTGATAAAAGAAAGTGCATCTATAGGGCTTTTATTTATTTTTTTATTCAATGACTGGCCCTCAGTAAAAATAAAAATAATAAAAAAAAGGAAGAAAAGGAAAGAAAAACAAAATAACGGATTAGTATCAAATTCTTGAATGGGTTCCACTACACGAGGTTACGGGTCTTCCTTACATCTTGTCACTTGAAAGGGTAACAACTATAAGCACACAGCAGAGTGAGAATTATTATGCCAAGAGTATAGGGAATACAAAATAACCATGGATAATTAGTTAAGTTAAAACATTTACATAACTTAATTTGAATAAACAAATTATTCAAAGTGGCAGAAACTAAAATACAAAAATTATGTAAATAAATAACCATAACCACGGTACCGAATAGAACAGAATAAAGGTCATAGACAATCAGAACATAAGTCAATGGATCCATGACAAACAGAGGACTACAAAGTGGCCAAACAGAGGACCACAAAGTGGCCAAACAGAGGCCAATCGTTATTTAAGTCTCCTAAGGCATTGGACTCCTATGGTGATACTTACAAAACATAATTGTTTATAAAACCATTGTCAAATAATTTCTAAAAATTAAACAAACATATCCATGGATTTCAATTTAAGCAAATAGGGTTCAGAAAATAATTAACGTAATCAAAATATTAATATAATTTATAAAACATAGATTGCATAAAATAATTTATGGTAACGCAAAACATACGTAAAATATATTATGGTAACTCATGGTATAACATAACTCACCTTAATATTAATCCTTACTATTTCTTCCTATTTGTTGCCAACTACCCGGGATTATTCCCTTGCTCCTCTCTTTTTTTCTCCTTTTTTTTTTCTCCCTCTCGTTTCTATACTGCCTTTCGTAGCCCCCACCACCCTCTTATATACACAAGCACCTGGGTGATGAATCACCTAGTCATGATGCCTCAAATTGGTGACTCACCTCCCCTAGGGGCTAGACGACACAGGTGGCGCAATATCATTCCCTGTAGAAATTTGCAAATCTACTCATTAATTATTATTATTCATCCATATATTTATTTTATTATTTGTTTGTTTATTTATTTATTTATTTTTATTTTTGGAATAGCGTGGTGTTAATTAAATATTTAATGTGTCACACGGCCGGTGGTAGATGAGGTTGCTGCAACTGAAGCAAGGAGATAATCTAATTAAGTTGAAGAGTAGTCTGTGCGGTTGACTGCTCAAGATGTCCAAGGCGGCCATCGAAGGCATCAAGACAAGCATCCATGTGATCTAACCGTTAAGTCATGGATTGCTCAAATCGGCGAAGCTGGCCACGAATGGTCCGGGGATGAACATTAGCCTCCTCTGCACTAGCTGCCGCTGCATCAATCTCAGCCTTCTCTGTTGGAAGATCATCATCACCTGTAGAAGAAGGACCCGCCCTAGACGACTCCCCTTTAACATGAGCCCGACTTTGAGACACAGTTTTCTTAGTAAAGGGTTAATTGGAGTGGCATTCTCATCTTCCTCAAAGACCGAGACCTCAAGTTTGGACAAGAGACGATTGATCAATCAACTATAGGGAAACTCTAATTGTTTATTCCCAATAACTGCAATCATTTTGCGGAGGATAAAGGTGGCAATATTGATGGGCAACTGGTGATCAATGCAGTACAAGGTATAACCTTGGTCTTGGTTTATTTCTGAACTATGGGTGGTGACAATGAGATTGGCGCAAACAATGAGGTTTAGTAACCTAAATTTAGGAAGGAGTTCATTCTGCTTGATTAGAGCCCCTTGAATCCAGGTTCGGGGTATACCACACAATTCAGTGGCCACCTCATTAAAGTCACACGTGGGGCGAACAAAGAAAGAGAAACGGGCATTAAAAATAGGGCCAATGTCGATAAGAGAACGAATGAGGTCCTGGTCAACTACAAGTTCCTTAGACCTAACCCAGGTTTTGAATGAGGGACCTACATTATCAACCCCTTCTATGTTACAACAAAATTCCCTAACCCAATCTAAATTTTGACACCCGGAAAAGGAAAGAACAAGATCACCCCCCAATGGATCAAACATCGGACGAATGGGTATGGACTCAAAGGTATTAGGTTGCACATTGCGTTCCAAGTGGACAATCCGAGAAATGAAGGCTTCGCTAAAATTCTTAGCTTTTTCTGTGGAGGGAAACCGGTCAAAGTTATACCGAGGATAGGTAGGAGTGGACTTATGACGTTTAGATATAGAAATGGTAATCCCAATAACAGAACCAACACTAACCAGACAAAACACCCCCCTCCAAAAACCAAGGTAAAGACTAAACCCAACAAGGAAAAAATTAGTAACAAGAATAATATTCGACACAATTCAAATAACCAAGAGCTTCAACCAAAGCAGTTGAGCCAAATCCCTAATCCCAAACAGTGCATAATTCATTAGTAAGAAAAACATCCATAGATCAAACTCCAAAGCAGAACAACTTAGTAGCATTAAAGGAGCACACATTTGAAAGAACACAAAGACCACGACGTAGAGACATGTGTGGTAACACAATAGCATAGACCAAAAGCAATATGCTCAATATCACTAATATAGCATAGAACAAACACCACAGGCTTAAAACCCTTTGAGGAACTGTGTGAACAAGTGAACAAAAAGAAACAAAAAAAACACAAACCAAGTCACAAAAAAAAAAAAAAATCAAACCCCAAATCAAACAGAGAGAGAAAGAGAGAGCCAAAAGAGATTTAACCCTCGAGCGGACTAACTTAAGCGCGTCTCACCACTTGAGCCCAAAAAACAACCTCTTAGAGTCTCGCGCACTTTGCAAAAATACTAGATGAGGAAAATCTGCTCTCGAGCGCTATAGGTGCCGCTCAAGCAGGTAAGAAAAAACACCAAAGGCAAAAAAACACCCTCCTAAGCAGTTAAAAACAACTCACACTTGTCAAGGCGGACCTGAAACAAGAGAAGGTGAGCATAAAAGCAAGAATGAAACACTAAGATGAGATAATCCACAAACCATGAAGCCTGCAAACTTGCAATTTTGGCAATATGAAGCACAGTATCATGAGCAAATAAGGTAAACATCAATCAATAATCATAAGCTATATGAGAATGCACAACTCAAAGACAAACATGAGAGCTCACATAATGAATGTGTGTGTGCAATCCTTGAAAGGCCATAGAGCTAGAGTTAATCCTCGTAGTGATTGGATGGCTGGATCTCCGACAAGAGTAACTAAACATCATTGAGAAAAGTCAAACTA